TACATTGCATGTGAAAGACGCAATGAAACCGTCAATCCCGCTGCGAGTATATAGCCCTGCAGCGTGTGTAAGATTATAGTAACTACAACTGTGATACTTAATAAGTAGGACAGTAAGTATACATACTAAGTCCAGCAACGGAAGATAAGTAGCACAAGTACAACATTAAGTCTGCTAACTACTTAGTAATCCCTGTAACTACATAGTAAGCACTACGCCCATGTAAGTAAAGCTCAAAGGTCGGTCGAGAAGCGAGTGTCAATCATTGGGAGATACAGAATGATCATCATGGCCACAGTCGTTGAAACGAGGTTCCATGGCACGTTTCCCCCATGTCCTGTCGACAGATGCTCCATCTCTTCACCGACCTTCAAGGGGGCGGTCTCTGCCGTCCGCCACGGTCCACGGTCTTGGCCGTGTCGACGTCGAGGACCGGTCCTCGAAGCTCCAGATCCAAAGACTTGGACCTTTCCTACCAGGGGCCCGAACCCAAAACATGGAAAAAAAAACAGTTTTTTTTGCGGAAAACCCAGGTGTTTGATGGGCCATGTGGGGCCCCTGGTAGAAGTTCAAGGAGATTCCTAGACTCGGATCTCCGGTCTGTCGACTTGACTCCCAGGGTGGTGGTCAACTCCACTTCCATGATGTTCTCTCAGGGAGTGTATTCTTTCGAGACAGTTCTAGAGAAACCTGGCGCATGAGGAAAACCGTCGATGTGACGGTCCAGGTGACCAACCTGGCGCAGCTACAACCCGCACTCGTCCGACTCGGGTCCGGCTTCGTGTCGATCAGAGCATCCGAGCATCCAAGAGGCCTACTTTCCCTAGGGCTCCTGGCCCACCTCCTGAGGTTTGGTGGTTGGGGTGGGTGCCAGGGGGGTCTAACCACCTGAGGATATGGTTGGAGCCCTAGGGTTTGCACCAACTTCATTACCCCTGTTTGGGTATCCAATGGAGACATTTCAATCAGGTTGTTCAGCCAATCCCAAGCGGATGGTCCTGGGAGGGGTCTCCAATGGATCTCCATTCCCAGACAGGATGTCCCATCGCTGTTGTTAGGGTCTTCTGGTGAACTCTGGCCCCTATCAAGGACCCCGGCAGCGCAGATCCCTTCGCCGAGCTCGAGAAAGCGGGACCTGTTACTTCGAGCTCAGTGCAGAGCGGCTCGAAGCCGTTCGCCAGTCACCTGCCCAGGGACAGACGGGGCGGCAGTAGCAACCACGGAGCCCAGAAAAATAACAAATGGCATCAACATAGAGGGGAAGTGCGCTCCCTGGAACGAACATGGAAGTGGATAACATATATGATAACATAGCCCCTTGGAAGACCTCTACCTAGAGGGGGTGAACTCCACTTCGCAGGGAGAGTATCGGAATATACTGTAAATAAACATAATATTCACCCAGTTTCAACCGCGCATGAATTGATCTCCCAACTGTCGAGCTCAGGGTCCTACCCATAACCCGCTGCGCAGGTCCCACTTTTTGAGCTTAAGTCAGCAATGTGTGCAACCCCGTGTAAGGTGTAAAGATGCCTCCTTCAGGGACTGCCTAGAAATCCACTGCCTGGAACTGATCAAATAGGATTGCAGATAGTAGTATAGCTTGCCGTAAGCGGCACGCTGGCGGGGTAGGGGTGATTTAAAGAACGTCAGAAGACAGTGTCAAGTTTCCTCAATCACATATTGGAAGTGATGCCGTGGGCATTTAGACAAGGGGAGCTCAGCGTCGAAAGGCATCCAATCCAAGGCGAACGCACTTCTAAGCCGGAGTTCAAGGAGCGCAAGGAGAAGCCCGTGAAAGCCTCCTGGGGCGCCCTGAAAGCTTTCATGGAGACTGAGACGAGCACGCTGATGCCGCCTAGCGGTCCGGAGCACCTCAAGCTCAAGGACCTGGAGACGAAGCCAGGCGAGTCGCTTCCAAAGAGCACCGAACAATGGGAGGTGAAGCCAAGCATGAAGGACTCCGAACTCAATGAGGTGAAGGCAGCTACGCCAATCACGAAGCAGTTGGAGCTCAAGCCAAGCACCTTCTCAAGCAGCACTGCCCCAGCTGCTCCAGCATCCCCATCCGACCCCGTCCTCCCCACGCACCACGAGACCTCGCGCACGGATCTCGCGTGGGCTGCGGGCGCGGCGCAAGCCACGGCGATGAGCGAGATGAACAAGTCGACAGGTGGGGCATTGACCACACCCGAAAAGGATGGAAGTCGGATCACCTGCGAACTCTTCGGGATTTGGAGTGTCCCGATCAATTGACAAAAACAGTGGTGGCACGTTTTGCTGACCCGTTCTTTTGCCAGGGATTGAGACATTCTGGGCAATCCATGGCAATCCATGTATTTGAGGGGGTGTTTTGCGTTCAATGCCTTTTACCATTGACTGGTTTGTTTATAGAGTGGATACCCTGAGTTGAACAGCCAATTGATACCAGCACCTTCAAAGGGGTCACCAATGGAAGCCCCTACACTACTAAAGGACCTCCATTGGACACCCCTTGAAGCTCCAGGTAGGTATGTTGCCATATCAGCCCCTCTATTGTCCCCCAAAAGCACCTGATTGGTCGGTCAATTCCCTGCTCGGATCAATTGAGGTGTCGCTGAGGATGAAGGTCCCTAGCTAGCGATCCGGGGTCCCCGGGGGTCCCCAGTCATCACCGATCCGGGAGGAGTCCTCATAGCAGGATGAAGGGTTCCCCTCTGCCAACAACCATGTTGTTAATAGATGTTATATAATCGCCTGAATCCCGAACAACCATTGTTTAACGAAGGGTTTTACACTAAACAAGGTCAACCAGTTTAAAAAGCATCGTGCAAGGCTATGGCTATGGGGTTATCCACATCCACCAACCCTCCTTTTCGCCGTGTCAGGCCTCGCTCAGAAGATCAAGGGAAACTCCACTGGCATGAAGGTGGAGAACTCGACAGAGACCATGATGTCAAAGGCTTCCTTTGGTGATTCCAACGCGAAAGACCCTCTGAAGAAACATATGATGCAGTAAATTCGTAAATAAAGTTTGAAGCATATTCTTCAAATTAATTTGGGAATGAAGTATATACTCTTGCAGCAGGAAGCCATGTTTCGTGGGGGGCGGATCCCGACGTCTCTTGAAGTCTCGACGCCCGAGGAGACCAAGGCCACGAGCTCGAGCCCGGTGCTGGTCAACGATGCCGTGAAGAGCGTCGAGGTGAAGAAGAGCGAAGAGGCCACACCAAAACGATGTTCGCACATAGAAAGCATAGAACAACAGAGAATAACATAGAATTAGAATTGAACTAAAGCTTGTAGATAGGGCAAGGCAAATACTAAGACTAAGATGAGCTTGACCCATATATGTCAGAGGAGGATTCCTGGTTTTTCTGCGTGCGTCGGTGGGCAACCTCCCTCTACCAGGTTGCCACGAAGCCCCAAAGGCTGAAGTGGATTTCCCGTAGGTCCAAGAAGAGAAAGGGGCAAAACAAGGGCTTCAGGGTCCAAGCTCTGAAGAGTGCTCCCCCAACCAAGCTCCGTAGCCTGAACGCGACGCGGCGACGCGTTGGAACTCCGTTGGAACTTGGAGATTCCTATATATGTACCTAGCACTTGCAATGGGTGCCCTGTCTGGGGAGACCTGTAAACTGTAAGTAGGGTAGGGTAGTCTATTAGTCTATTGGACACCCAGACAGGATGATCTGGTAGTTGATGCTTTTGTAGATTTTCCCACTTCTATTCGCAAGTTCTTCTTGCCCTCAGAATTCACCTGGCAGGCAGAGCATGAGCCGCAACGAAGGGCGGCGCCGCCGCAACCACTGGTCGCAGAGGCAGCAGCTAAACAGCCGTCCTTGCGTGCGCGGGCTCAGGCTCCTGCTGAGGTGGACACTGTGCCTTTTGCAAGGGAAGTGGACATGGAAATGGCCGAGTCTGAGATACTTGGTATTGAATTCGTTAAATTGAGTTCATATGAATCTCAGACACTCCATGTATGCCATATATGCCTACATTGGGGTGGTGCCAGGGGGGTCAATGGGGCGGCAGTCCTATGGTAGTCCCACGACTATCTGGGAATTCTTCGGGCCAGTTTTTGTCTTTCGGTGCCGTCTTTGGGCTCTGGTCCGCTCTGGTCACTGTTTCCCCTATCAGGATCTCGCTGGAACTGCAGGTCCAGACGCCTTCTCATCCACCAAGACGCCTTCCGATGGGACTCATACGACCGACTCATGGGGACCGCCTTCCGTCGCCTTCCGTGACGGTCGTGGTGTCAACCTGGAAGGTCTGGGGCGGCAGTGGCAGGCAGTGACAGGTCGTGTCGATATGTCTTCCACCGACATGGTTTGGGCCCTGGCACAGACCCGACCTCGAAGCTGGCGCCGAGGGCGATCGTCTATATATTGACATGTTAATTTAAAAGGAGGTTTCGGACGAAACCTCCGACCTTTGGCCTAGAATCCAGGTGTTTTTGGCATGTGTTTGCCTCTTGAAGGATTTTGATGGATAGAATGATGGATAGAATGTGATCTTCCCCCCCCAACTAGAGATCCTCCAACCCGCCCTTTGGGAGTTTGATGTGTTGCGAAGCAAAACGCTCCGCTTCTCGGATCACCAGGCCCATCCCACGAACAGTTCTCGCCGGTGCGAACCACACCGAGGCCGGTGGAACTCCCGGCTCCACCTGCTCCACCAGCACCGCCCGCGAAGGCCGCAAGGCTGGCCGGACCAGCCTCCTTCGCGGCCTTCTGGACGCAAGAGGCCGTGGCACCGCAGGCGGTGGGCCGGTGGACGGTGGACGAATCCGCCAACGCGGAGCTGCAGGCTGCAGCCAGCCTTCAAGGACACGAAAGAATGGACACCCCTTCAATGATTCCTTCTTCATGCATTGTGATCTTTGAAGCTGAATGGTGACGTCGTTTGGCACATGTGGAGGTGGAGAAGCCCCGCGGCGACTCGGAGCCGCTGGTCTTGGTGCAGCGGGGACAGGGCGTGGACTTCACCAAGGTCACGCCCCAGCCTGAGGAGCATGGCTTGCATTTTCCTCGGACGCGTCGCAGGGGCGGTGGGTCGTCGGACCCGACGCCCTTCGACTATCCAAGGCGGACCGGGATACTCCAGGTAGCTAGCTACCGGGTCCTAGTTCAGTGGCTACCTCTCTTGGTTGGAGATGCTTAGGGGGTCAGATGCGGGTTTTCAGGCAGCAAGGGCTGTTTGGAGGGTATGGGTTGATGGCTTTCAGAAGCCTTTGAAGGGCTTCTGACGGGAACCAAGCCGAACCAACCACGGCGGATTGATTTGTCTTGGTGATTCATCATGACCCTAGCCTTCAAAGACCTTTAAAAGAACGGTTGAGCTGGTGGTGTAGTGTAAAAATCCTTAGTAAAACAATGGTTGATTGAATCCCAGGGATGATTCATCCTTCAATCCATCAGCTGAAATGTTCACAGATGTTCTGACATGTTGAAGCTTGAGCTTCAGCCGGATATATACCTGAAGCTTCAACCACCCATCTGCCAGCACCCTCACTGCCAGATCTTGAGGGTTGTGACCTCCTACAGCTCGTCCGGTTCAATTGGGGGTCCTTTGGTTCCGCTTTTGCGGAGGCGACCGGGACTCGCCCGGCGCCTTATTAAGGTCGACCTAAATATACCGAAGAACCGTGGTGGTTTCGATGGATTTCAGACTGCCGAACCAGATATAACCAATCTTATCCAATCTTTAGATATGGTTTTTAAATGATTTTAAGGTTTGCTACGGGGAGGTTCTTTACATATCTTCACGCTTGTGTTTTTTGACCGGCTCCTGATCGATGGGCTTCGTCCCACCCGTGCGCGAGCAAAAAAGCATCAGGAGCCCTCGATCAGCATCTCCGAGCCCTTCCGCGTGTGGGAGGTGCCACCGATCTCGGGCGCCGACAGAGCGTTTGACAATTCATGGCCCAGCATAATTTTCACCGAAGAACCATGAAGAACCCATTGCTTTACATGCTGATCATATCTGATCATAAACCATACTGTTTTTACAATGTTTTACTGCATGGCCTGGGAGTTTAAGACTGTTCTAAGGAGCTCGTTTAGTCTCTGTTTAGTTGATCGGAAAAAGGATGAAAAAGGACTGTCTTTTTCTTCAGTGGTGTGAAATATAGTCTTTGGACTTGGATAAGGAAAGGGTTTTAGACTACAGAAATCTACAGAACCTGGTCAACCATTGTTTTAATGAGTCAGTCAATTGTATATATATATAACCGTTGCCCCTATCTCGAGGTTCTTGCTCAAGCACCTCCCTTCAAGAAACATCAAAGTGGGCCTTCCCTTGTAAAGTCAACAGGGTGTATGAAAGAATTTGTTCAACTTCCCTGATCCTAAAAATAAAGATCTAAAAAGTAAGTACAGTCGACAATGTAAGACTTGGTCATACCATGATATCACTGATGACCCGAAGTGGCCCGAAGTTCCTCTACTTCGGTGGACGGTCTTCGTTGCCCGAGGGTCCTTTCTGCCGGGTCGTTTCTGGTTCGGAAGCAGCCGCTCCATGCTCGCCAGGAGGAGGACCAGCAGGCGGCGCAGCAGCTCAAAGACTTGGATCGGCGCTTGCGGCAGCGTGCCCGACGGTCCATCCGCGCGGAGTCGACTGTCCTGGCACCAGAGGAGGAGAAGGGTGCTGCAGGTCAGTGGGAATCAACTGGTCCGCCTTCCCATGGCCAACCCCGTGAGACGCTACGTAGTGAAACAGAAATGCACAATCCTTCGTGGAACAGGCGTTTTCTTCGAGAAGAACGTACCTGGACTTTCAAGGGGTGTCCTGTCTGGGGGTCCCTTAGTGGTGGGCTGGGGCTTCCATTCGCCCTTGGAAGGTCCTGGTATCTAAGTGGTCCTGCTCCGTCGCCTCCAGCGGCGACCCCTCCGCGACAGTCGGACCAGGACGCGATGCACCGAGACGCGATGGGGACGTCTTCTCCATGGGCGAAGCTTGAGAAGGAAGACCAGCAAATCGAGGACGGGATGAGGTCTGACAGGCCAGGTGGATGACATCAGGATGGGCAAATCCGCTCATGGAGCCATGTGGATGACATCCATATATGAAAGAAAACAGGGAAAAAGGTAGGATGTCTTTTTGGCAAGCTCGAGTACTAGATAGTATACTAGTGAGGCTTGCGTCCTGTGCTGGGCTTCAATTAAGGCAGTGGCTTGGGAAGTCCACTGCGTTTCTGCACTGCTGGACCCGTGATGCGAACGGCAAGTCTCAAGTGAGCAATTGTTCCACTGCGAAGTGCGCGAAGTGCACTCCCATTTGTGAGTCTGTACAGTATGCAGCTACTCGTACAGCTAGCCTCAACTACGTATGTATATATACATATATATATATATATTTCTATATATAGTATATACATATATATTACATGTATTGTTTAAAACAACTGAAGTCAGTGGGGAAGGTCTCTTGCCGCTCCCGCCGCATGCAAATGCTAGAGGAGACCTTGCTCAATCTCGATGACCCGCGGCGACCGGTGGACTTGAGGGAATATCAGAAGCTGAATTCCATGCAGGATGACTCCATGGCTGAACTGGATGGGAACTTTGCACACCACTGAGCCGAGCCCTGAGCCCTGAAGGAGAATATCCTGAGAACAAAAATACGCACTCTGACGAACGGGAATCCCATGGAAGTGGACGAAAAGGACCATGCCATCCACGTAACCATGTGGATGTGTTCGTCGGAGTGTCATGATTTTGTGGCTGAGTTTTGCTTGCTGTTCTTCTTTTGTTCTTTGGGGGTGCTGAACCATGCTGAACCTGTAGCGACTGCAGGTTCCAGTTCGGGCGCGGAGAACAATCGGTCGTTCGAAGCCAGCACTGTTGGCTCAGCTCAGGAGCTGTTGGCGTCATCCGAGGATGACCAGGGTGGCCACCCATCGAGTGTTCCTTAGTGCGGCTGCAGCTGAGCAGTGGCTTCAAGAGTCTCACGACACGCCGCAGGGAAAAGTCAGTCAGGCTTTGCGGCTTTCAGGTGGATTTGTTCTGTTCCCTGTGAGTAAAGCCTGTTCTGTTCTTTCTAATTTTCCTGGTTTCTTAAATCCAAGAACGTGAGCACCATGCAACGTGACGTGCCTTGACAAGCAGGTGCTGCATGACGTGCCTGGTGTGATACTGGGTTCGATCATGGTGTGAGACTGGCCCTGGCGCCCCTCATGGCACCCCTCATCACACGCTGAATCCGGACTGGATGTTGGTCCCGATCAGGAAGATTAACATGGAACCTGAAAACCGCTGGGTTGTAGAGGAAAATAGTCTCCAAAAGGTCGATTTTCAGGCTCCATTAGTTTTCTGGAGTGTAGCCCCACTGACAAGGAGCATCCCCTCCAAAATCCTCCTCTTGCATGTGACGTTTAGGTTGTGGTATTTAGAGGTATGAGGGAGGAGTGCAGCTCCCAAGAGGCTGCAGTTCCCAGATCACCCAGTCTGATCGCTTGATCGCCCATGTGACTTGCACCACTGCTGGTGATCTAAAAGGTCGATGAGCTGATCGCCGGACCAAGGATGAACCAAGCCCCCATTCATTTACTGTCGTTTCAAGAGGAGATGGCAATCCCCAAGTCCGGTTGTTTAGATGGACCCCTATATAAAGGACATCTTGGAGGTTGTGCCACCTACTCTGAAACCACTGTAACGGTTCCTCCGGAAGACCCGTGTTTTTTTTCTCCAGAAGATAATAACTCTACACGTTTCCGGGTCGCCAGGTCAACCATGTTTCAGCCCTGGCCGCCTGGAAGGCGAACTGGCAGATCACACAGAATAACTATTATACCCTAGGGCTTCCTGTCTGGGTGTCCCCTCTGGTGACCTATAAGCAGTGGCTTGTCCAGCCAGGTCACCCCGAACGGAAGCAGCTGGTAATCACAAATGAGCAGCGTTCTAAATTCACTCTTTCTTTTTTAGTCAGGGACCGGCGAAAAATCAGTGAACATAGTGATTTTAGCTGATGTTTGTAAGGTGTCCGTAAGGTTTGCCGTAAGGATGTGCAGACTTGAACGCTGCCGTAAGGCTGCCGGAAGCGAAACTTGTCTATTTTGATTCTGTATCCTGTCTTGTTTTGCAACAACATATCAAATGTGACCATAGTGGACTTGCATACCTTCGCCGTAAGCACAACGTAAGAATAGCCATGCATAAATGTGTCACCGTAAGCAAAACATAGAAAAACGTAAGCTTTGCGTAAGGCCTACCGTAAGGTTTGATTTCTCGGCAAGAAAAGACAACGCAATTTTGAACACCGCTCAAATGATGTATTATATACAAAGGCGATCACCAGAGCACACCTGGCCTGCCAAGACGAAAGATTCCTGCTTTAAGAGGTGCACTTCATGACCAGTTCCAAGAGTCTACCCATCCAATATAGGAAAAAGAAAGAAAAGCATCGACTTTCCAAAATTGTGGGATTTGGGCCGGGAAAGCCCTAAGCAAGGTGACCACCAGAGGAAGAGTCACAACAAGAAAGACATGAATTCCTCGGACAAGTCTCGGGCATTGCCCGGTCTTCACGCACCCGGTCGGCATTGACCGTGCTCCCCTACAGCGATATTGAGGAACTCCAGAGCTGATGCCCGAGATTGGAAGCCAAGAGGAGCTTCAGGTGTGGTGTGCCGTATCGAGAGGCTATCCCAGAGAGAGGGATGGATATGTATGGACCCCAGCCTTCCAAGACCAATCAGAGAAAGGTTGACCTGGTGGCCTGCGGTGTAAAGTTGTTTGTTAAACAATGTTGCTCAGTGAAACCAATTGAATCAATGACTGTTGGAAGCCTAGGGTACATATGTTGGTGGGGGACAGGAGCTGCAGCTGGTCTTTTAGTTGCCAGGTATGAACGCCGCACGGGCTTCGGCCGCAAAGCCACCTGTAGGACTCATTTGTGCATTGGAGGAGCCTCTCAGGTGATTTAGTAGAACATGTCCGAAAAACGTTTCAAGCTTCAAACCACCCCAATTGCTAGCCTTAAACAGATCTGAACAAACACACATGAAACGCCTATAGTGAAACACCTAGTGAAACACCTCAAACCATCCTGACCGAAAAAGCTCCTGTTTTGGTTTCAATCCGCACCGGTGGCGGTTTCAACCGGCTCCGTCCAGGCTTTGGGCGCAGGGCCGGGCAGTGCTCCAGTGGAGCTGGGCATTGTGGATTCCTTGTGCCCGGGAAGAGGGGGGTTTCAGCCTGGTTGATCGAGGCGAATCGAGGCTCGGACGTGAGCTCAAAGAAGATGCGACGTCCTTTGCGTTTTTGCTCGCGCTGCGAGAAAATCGCATCCCATAGCATGAAGTCAAACAGGAGAACCTGCTGAATTTAAGCATAGCATTCAGCTTCGGAGACCTGGGGTGTTTCCGTCGTTTTTTTGTGTTTGAATGGAGGTTGACCTGGGTGGTTGGGGCAGGGTTCGGGGGGTCGGGGGGGATATGTTTTAGACTTGGTTCCGGTTAGTTCTTTCTTTTTTCACATTGTGAATTCTCTTTTTCATGCTTTTCTGGTGAATAGATGTTAGACAAGGTTCGCTGTATAATAGATGTTAGACAATTGTCCATGCTCAAGCGACTGGGAATAGATGTTATTGTATATTATGGTATTTAGATAGTGTTAGCAGTACAATCGTTACTTTTTCCCGTTGCTTGAACAGCAACAAGTTCTTCGACGTTGGGACTTGCGTGAGGGCACGGGGCGTGGTTTCGGGGTGGGGTGTGGATTGGATGTGCAGGTGTGGACGAAAGACTGTGCGTTCTGATGTGAAAACGGGCTGAAAGAGAAGGGCTGTAGCTGCTGGGTGAACAATGAACAAGTAGTTGTTGGCACCGTGGAAGACCGCGCATTCGCGCCAAAGTCTTGAAGAGGTGTTGAATCTTGAAGGAGTGTTTAGGTCGTCACATGCATATAACACCAAATGGTTGAGCTATAGTTCATCCATTAGTTTGCTTGTCTCGAATTTATTTATTAGTTCATCCCGACCGCGTTTTGCGACTTAATGTGCGACTTTGCCCTTCGGGACGCATGATTCCATATCGGAGGGGTAGAGATTAAGCTGAAGGTGCTTGATTTGTGCAGTATTCCACGTTTTGTTCCTGTACCCCGGTATTCCAACCAGAGTTAAACCAATTTCAATGGTTCTGTCCGGACAATGGTCTTAAGTTTTACTAGTACTGCGCAGCTCAATGATTTTGATAATGGTCTTAAGTCTTGGAAGGCTAGGGTATATGTGAGGCAGCAGTTGGGTTGGATGTACCTGCTCCATGCTGAACGGCCCAGACCATCATCATCATCATCATCATCATCATCATCATCATCATCATCATCACCATGATCATCATCCTGGTTTTGCTTAATGGTGATGTTTTACATTCCCTATATGGTCAAATCCCCTTGGGTGAATCTGTTTGTTCTGTTCCTGGAAGCTGAGGAATAGATCCGTCATCCGATCGTTGGTGGGACCGGCATGGCAGAGACACCCCCCGGATCTCGAGGTACACCTATGGTGCACCCGCCGTGGCAGATCCACCACTGAAGGACCCGCAGCGATGTCGAGAGATGTCGAGAGAGGATGTGGAGAGAGGATGTCGCGAGGTGTCGAGGATGTGTTGATGAGAACCCTTCTGGACAGAAATGAGGTTGCATCCTCCAAGAACGTCCAAGACCAGGCTGCTGTTGTTGTTGTTGTTGTCGTTGTTGTTGTGGTTGTGGGCATGTGTTTGGCGGGTGGTTGTTGGATCCGTTTGGCGGGTGCTTCCCGGAAATACATTTTTTCAATCACACGTGCCTCATCCAAACTTGTAGACGAAATGCCGTTTTGGGACGTCGCAACACCTTGCTGGTCGGACCGCGCGCCCCTCCGCCAGCCTCTTTTTCAAGACCCAGACCCACCGCGACGTCAACCTTGGCGCCTCTGCGCCTTCGCGAAGCGACCCCATGGGCTTAAGCGGATCCCACCTCCACGTGGACGGCGTCAGTGATGCTTGGGGCGAAGAGGGTCGACGAGTCAAAGATGTTGGGTGGTGAAGAATATATATATATATATACATGTGGAAGAATCAGGTAGCCTTGGTCATGGTACCCATATCCCCTCCTTTTTTTGCCGATTTTGGTCAACTTTTCCAATGTTTGAGCTCCAAGATGGAATTTCACAACATGGCGGAGGCGCAAAGGGTGATTCGAGGTTTTGATCCTGAAGGCACTCCCTGAGGGTTCCCTCACAGAAAGAACCATCAACGACTTGAACTACCTCAAAAAGCTCCAGATGTTGAGAACTCCATTCAGGCATATTCAGGCCATCATTTGGAGCTTAGGAGACTTCAAGTGCCTGCTCCGACCGGAAAAACCATTGCCGACCTCGGAGTCCTGGATTAGGAGTTTTATAGGGGAACACCAACAGTAGGAAACTCATTCATTTTGGGGTTGAAAAGCATGCGTTTCCAGGCGATTGTTTCCCCAAATTAAGTCATCAGTCCCCAGACGCTCCATGTAATCAGCCTATGGCCTACATTCACCATCCAAAACCACAGACATCAGAAATCATCAAAGATCTAGGCCCTTGTTGCAGTCCCTGCAGTCACATCTTGGAGCGTTTGGGTCGCGCGGGGCATGTGAGTACCCCAAAACCACCTGGACAGACCTCATCGGTCAATCTGCTAGTGACCGAATGGGGTCAGCAGGTCTCATCATCATCTGAGGATGTGAGTCCCTTCACGACCGAGATCGTGGTGACCAACCACATGCAGACGCCCGTGCTCATCGTCGAGGCCAAGCATCATGGAGAGGCCACGCCTGCGCATGGCGTGGAACATTCCATTCCTCCAGGCGGCCCGGCGCGTGGCCTCGCGGAGGTTCCGGACCGAAGCGGAGCAGTGGGGAGCAGGGTTCAATGAGCCGCAGGCAAATGGAAGACCAATGGTGAACAAGGACCATGGACCATTGAGTTTTGTGGGAACTAAAAAAGTATCTTGGCAAAGGGTCGAGCCACAAGGGTCGCCGGGTGGCCCGCCAGTGTTTTGATATCGAATTCTGACGATGAGGTCACATCGAGTGAACGATAGGCGTGTCGAAAAATAACATATAGAATAAAAAACATGTGGTGTTCTGGTTGCCAATCCACAGAGGACCAGGATTTTTTTCAACACCCGGGACCCAGGACCGAAAACCATGCTCGTGTACTTTTGTTGTCACCAGTCCTGGAATCCGAAGAACGTTGTCCTGGTGTTGCTAGAAGGTTTGTGTTTGATTTTCCCTATGGATCTACCGTGCCTTGTGAAATGATTCCAGAATGGGGACGGGGGGGGGTGCCCTTCAGATTCCTTGAGCTAAATCCTCAGTTTTCGGCGCCTAAGTTCTGTGCCACATCTGGGGGAGATGCGCGACGACCGACCTTGCGACCCTTCTGCGAGGAGACGACCACCTTGGAGATGCCAAGGTTTCCATGTAGTGACCGTCTAGTGCAGAAACTGCCAGAGAAAAGTCATCATCCAACTGGTGGACTTCGGATGTGAGGACAGTTGCATGGAATGAACTTCATGCTGTTGTTCTTCTGAATTCATATCTCTCTCGTGACCATGACCCTTGTTCACGCACCACACTTCTCCGCGGTCTCCACCGCAGTCTCCGCCCTCGCCAGGTGAGCATGCCATCATGTCCGGCTATTTGAAAGAGCCCAGGGCCACCTTGTTCATCCGCACGGGGATGCACGAGGCGAAGAAGGCGTGGCAGGAGGAGACAACGACTCTCCCTAGGGCTCCTGGCCCATCTCCTCATGTTCGGTGGTTAGGCCGTTCTGGCACCCACCCCAACCACCGAGCCTCAGGAGGTGGGCCAGGAGCCCAAACGGGATATATCCCTGCGAGACGACTCCCTAGGGCTCCTGGCCCACCTCCTGAGAAGGTGGGGTGGGTGCCTGGGGACCACCGAACCTGACGAGATGGGCCAGGAGCCCTAGGGACTATACAAAGAATGGTCGTTATGGGATCTGAAGGGGAATTTCCTTTATAACTTCACTGAGGGAAAGTATAGTCTTTGATAGTCTTTGGACTTCCAGGGTATATATAGGGCGTTCTTTTCGGGAGCCAGATCAACGTACCGTCACCAAGTGATCTCCATTGGGCATCCCCTGAAAGGTCCAGGTACTTCTTCAGATGCTGCTTTGAAAGAACCCTCTGGCCTTCCATTCCACCTCATTCCACCATTCAATTATATAGTTGACATTAGTTGACCTGGTGGATCCTGCTCGAACACCTGCCAAATCCGATCCTCAACAAAGCTTGCATGCAACATCTGCGAGGAATCCAGGTCTCGGTGCCGCGCTCCGTTCGCCGCAGGTCTTGGTGCCGAACTTGGGTCGCATCACCATCCGAGCCGCGCCCCACGGCTTGTTGGTGGAGACCGTGGACAAGAAGGCGACGCCTGAACCCAAGGATCATCCTGTTTTGATGGATGAGCACCATGCCGGGGGGGGCAAGATTGGCTGGAGGTCTGTCGGTAGTGGGCTGGGTGGTTTGACGCTAGGTGACCCGGGTGATGATTCAGGAGATGTTTGACCTTTCAGTTGAGGGTGATTCATCAACACTGAATCTGAATCCTTTCAGACCAGAGATCGATGAAAAAAACACGCTCAAAAAGTCTTGTTTTTTTGCGTTGGAGAAGAACACACAACCTTGGCCGTCTTGGCCAGGTGTCGATCGAAGACTTCGATGGAGATGCAGCGATGATCAAGGGCAATGACACGATTCCAATGCTACTTCACCATGAGTCCTTCAAGGACGTGTATCTCGGCCAGACGGACGCTGAAGAGATTTGGATTTCCTTAGCAGGCAGCAAAAATAACTAAAGAAACTGCTAACTATGAAAGCTACCCTAGAAGTCCTGTTCGACTACATGTATGGCCCTAAACAGAGGAACAGTGAGGAACAGCTCCGAAGCTCCTCATAAGATGTTGAAACATGGAAGATGGTTAATAGACATTTACATCATGTACTTGAGCTATCATTCATGTACTTGCTTCATGTCCATATCATAATTATCATATCATATCCATGTTTCAATCAGCTTTTCATCATCTATACTTTTGCTCGTGTGCCGGGCGTATGGCTGACGCGCTTTCAGGTCTCCATCTCCACACAAAAAGGCGATTGCCTGAGAGAGGGGCACGAAGGAAGTCGGACAGTTATGAACGTTTCGGAACTTGTACAGGTATCAATGTCATGTCCAGCTAACCGACAGAAGCGAGTGGCGGCGAGTATATAGCTAATCCGAATTTGGATGACGATGATTCTGGATGCAATCTGGTGTTTGCCTCTGTCGGCTTTGTTTGCAAAGGAGAAGGCAAGATCAAGCAAGAAAATCTTACTTATGCCGCACATGCCAAGAGCTGGGTTGGTGCATCACATTGGAAATCATTGAGACACTTCAACAGCGAATGACTTGTAGAGTCAGCGAATTGAGCCCATGACGGAGCATTTGACGACCCCACTCCCCTGAACTCGTGGCGAACTAATCCCAAGTCGACCTTTGTTGGGAGCTTTAGTTCATGTTTTCTCTTTCTTCAGAGAGCTTCTCCATCTTCAAATTGGACCCAATTGCATCACTGGTTGGTAGGCCCACCCAGTTGGCGAAATGTCAAGCATGTTGTGTCTGACTTCTTTGCGTGTACGCATGAGCAAACACATGCAGGTCAAGCTGGAAAAATCCCATGGTACCCTGATAATTTGGCTTGTTTCAGGAATAGCGCTTCCAGGTGAGTACGTCTTCCGAAGTGGCACCCTATTCCCTCATCCCCTCAACACAAATTGAACTTTTGGCCCAACGTCCAGAAATCCATGCGGGCCAAAATTACACTATGCATCCGATCATTAGGATGACAGAATCCGGAACTAGTGGCACCA